TGGCTAGGTTAGTTTTCTCCTTAGAAGGTGAAACATCTAAATCCATGACACAACGGTAAACTTTCTATAGCAGTTTTGTCCACTGCTGAGGGGTTACAAAACAGATCTGTAGAGTACTGATGCTACTGCTTCATGATACCCTCAGAACCCTTTATTATTAACACATATTTGGATTTGAGTGGAGCCACAGAAGCTGAAGGTAGTCCAAATACAGATTGCAGAAGAGAGTAGTCATTTCATGTTGTGTTGATTAGCTGCTTTTTATACACACATATTTTTACACAGAGATACACATATATACATATAAATACACATATGCTCTACTACACAGCATAGCATCCTTTCATCTCATACGCAAGAAACCTCTCATTAGCATTACAGTTCCTAAATGAATCAACATCGCGCCCCTGAATTCTGATGTTAAGAAAAAAGAACTCTCTGACACACTGGATTCAGTTATGATCTCAGAAGACATTGAATCCTCCTGGAAATCTCTCAGAGATGGCATTTATTCCAGCTCCCTTTACATCAAACCAGTCCTGATGCGTTCTTATGGGAAGTCCTAGAACTTCAACATTTAATCAAGAAGATGCATGATCCACACAAAATATTCTTAAACAACAAAAGCTGTCCATCAAAAAAGTGTATAATATAAGCAGTGTAAGTGCAAAATGCTCTCAGAAGAAAGAAAGAATCTTGGTGGTCTGCTAAAGCCGTGGAAATCCAGGTGGCAGCATAGAGAAAAGAAGGAAATTATATCATGATGGAAAGAACACTTTGAAAGTGTCCCTAATTCCACCTCTGCCAACAATAACGTCATTGCTTCAATTCATCGGTGACCAGAAATTTCAGTTGTCTCTTGAGCCATGCCTAAAGGAAAGCAATTGTCCTCAAATAAAAAGATTCTACCCCCGCCCAAATTTTTAAATATGGTGGGAAGACTCTGGTTAAGAAATACCTTGAGCTTTTAAAAGTCATATGGAAGGTTGGTTCTGTTCCGTAGGAATACAAAGATGTTTGCATAAAAACATCTGTTCAAGAACAAAACCAAAAGGTTGTATGTGATAATTTGTCTCATTGCACTTTGAAGTATTGTTGGCAAAACTCATGTTATTCTCAACAGAATAATCAAATATCTCATTGATGACATCTATCCTGAATATCAGTGTGGTTTTCGTTCAGGTTGTGAAACCATTGATATGATTTTTTTCACTTTGACAGGAAAGTTTGAGAAGAACCATGAACTATAAAGTATGGTAAATGTCATCATCTCATATAATGAAGGAATGAAACCATCTGTTATATCTAATGGAGAGTTTTCAGAAACCTTTGATATAAATAAATGGCACAAAAAAAAAGTTGTGTCATGGCTCCTGTACTTTTTGCTCTTTTTGGTCATGCTGCACCATGGTTTTTAGTGACTTTGACATTGTGTAAATTTGAATTCTGCACAATTGGTAGCCTCCTTTAACCATCAATGTTTTAAATCAAAATCATTGACTCAAGTAAAGCATTATTTGTGATCTTCTGTTTCGGATGATGCCAGATTGGCCACCACAATCAAAGAAGCTCAAGCAATTGTCAATCATTTTTCCACTGCTTGCAAATGCATCCAGATTAACTATAAGCATGAAGAAAAACGAAGTTGTCTCTCTCAACCAAGGCTTCTCCAAAGTTAACAGGTCAAGGGTGAAACAAAAACCACCCGCCCATATGTTCCCAATCATTCCTATTATTGTTGGCAGCAAACAACTCAAGTATGAAATCATTCTCGTAATTTAGAAAGTAAGGTCAATTCAAGTGCCTCTTTTGATGATGAGATACTAAACAAATATCAAAGGCAAATTAATGTCTTTTGAAAGCTTAAGCATTGCGATGGATGTTCATTATGGGATTTCACTGAAACTAAAATCAATGTCTATTGAGCAGTCATTCTCACCATACTTTTTTTTATGTCAGAATCATGGACACCATACAGAACGTACATCAATCAACTAGATGCTTTTCGTAAACGCTGTCTTTGTTCAATATGTGGTTATGAAAATTTTTTTTAACTGATCTTTTCATCAAATGTGGTGTCAGTGGTATTGAATCCTTTCTAATGCAGTCACAGTTCAGACGAGCTGGTAATCAGATGCTGAAAATTTTCATGTATATCCAACTTTTTCATGCTAAGTGTAACATAGACCGTGTTGGGTTACACTTCAAGGATAAACTTAAATAAAATTTTATTTCTGCAAACATCCCTATAAAGGAATTCGAACTTGCTGTTAAAAACCAAGCAAACTGGAGAAATATCTGCTACCAAGGTATAACTAAGTTTGAAAAGAATTGCCACAACCATCTGAGAGAATTAAGAATTAACACTAAATCTCGGGTTAATACATCGACCCATGTGATGGTCAACCCTTCAGTATGCCCTTCATGTGGATTTGTTTGCAAATCCCATGCAGGATTTGCAGTTTCATACAAAACAAAAATTGAACTGAAACACACTCATATATCACAAACAACTAGAGTCCATCATATATATATATATATATACACACACATTGCAGACATTGAAAGATACTGGAACATTTTCATCAATGATGCCTTTGGTCTGTGCTTGAAATCCACTGGATGTCCTTCACACCCCTAATACTGTTGTTCCACAAAAGGCCAATTTCACTCTCTGTGGAAACAATTATACACAAATACAGACTGAGATGGACAGGCCACATTATTTGTATGGCAGATGAAAAGAATGTCAAAACACCAAAGTATGGAGAAGTGGAATGGGAAAAGACTGCAGCACAAGCCAAAACTTTATTATAAAGATTTCCTTAAAGTCACTAAACAAGTGCAATATTGGTCTAGATAACTGGGAAACTGTAGCTGAAAATCAAGTTTCTTGGAAAGCTGGTATTGCCAACGGCATCAAAATCTTCCATGAGGCATCACAAAAATATGCAGAACTGAAGAGAGGAGTTCAGAAGGGATCCCTGAATTGCCATGAGGTGCCAACCTGGCCATGCGCCCAATGTAACTGGATATGTCTGTCCAAGGAAGGTTTTGGTCAGTCATCAGAAATCACACCAACACCAGCAGTCTATTGCATCTGACAATTTCATATTGGCATGCTTTGAATGTCCAACCTGCACTAGGGTGCACAAGTTCAGGTTGGGCTTGACAAGGCAAATAAAAAAAAAAAAACACATTAGAAGTGATGATGCTCAAATCAACTTCCACCACCTGGAGATGATTTGACACGCCACATATTTAACAAGAAATGCAGATCAATGGCTGGCTTTATGAGCCACTGTCGTTCATACAACAAATGAATGCAGTGTTGTGGTGGTGGGGAGCTTAACTGATGTACTGGGCATGTCAGTGATGGTCATACTCACTTTATGATTTGGCAGCCACTATTATATATATATATATATATATATATATATATATATATATATGTGTATATATGTATGTATGACTAGTAGTAAATCTTTCAATTTTTTTTTAAAAACAACACTAATAAAATTTTCTCTTGTACTTTATAGCAATATTTTGCACATTGATGACGATCCGACATCCAGTGTATATTCTATGCATGTAGGTGGCAGAGGGTAGAAGTAGTATCATTGTTACTAGGCTGCTGCTCTTATTAAGATGGAAAGGTAACACTGGTCTTCACCCATCCCCTAAATCTTCACACACCAAACCCTATAAAACACTTCAGCAGGCAGGCTAGATCATGTGAAATTACCATCGAGAGGCGCTGCACTCTTCTGTGCACTGGTAGTACTGGAGAGGTGTAACTCATTGATAATAAAATGAGTGTTGTTCATTGTGTTTGTGGCAAATATTTGCACCAACTCCTTGTTATCAGCACTTGCAATAAGTGTGGCTGGTTCTACACAAGCCTTCACCACTCTAAACGAACCCTTTGTGTGGATAGTCTGCAGTTCAGTTCTGTGTCCCTTCTTTGCTATTCCACCTGAGCAAGAAGTCCACAGGCAAGGGAGTTAAGGAAATGGGACAGGTACAGGATTAAAAACTGAACAGAAAGACACTCATACATTGAACAAGACGATAGAGACCATTATATATATATATATATATATATATATATATATATATATATATACATAGGGTCAGTTTCATCCAATCTTTGTGAATGCTGAGGAAAAGGTGTTTGCCATGAGGTTGACGGCTGTCTGCTTGGGAATAACTACTAGACACTAGTATCCAGAAGGGAAGAGTCCAACTTTTTTTTGTGTTGCCTGTTACTTCTATAGTGGAGGAGTACAAGGTGGCAAAGGTAAGATTGTAGTCCATGATGTGTGAATCTAAAGATGCTGTAATCCAGGAAAATGTGCTTTAGGTGAAGTCAGAAAGAAAGTGGAAAATGTCAGAAAAATATGTCAGCAGTAGAAGAGATGGTAAAGCAGGCAGAGGTTTAGGGCGTTACAAGGGAGGGACGTACTGAACTTGGTCTTGTTGAGGAGTGATTCTGGTCAGGGGCCAGTAAACAGGAGCAACATAAGTTACAGGAACAGGGGTTTGGAAGTTTGAGGAGGAGAGATGCTTAGTGCAGTGTATCCAACAGACTCAGCAGGATTGAAGGCTCAACCAGAAGAGTATTGATGGTGTGCAGATCAGTTGGTTTGACCTGTAGTGCCTCACTGCAGGACATTTAAATTTCCTCATTTAGGCAGCATACGATGCTGCAGCATCACTGCCAAATGGAGTGTGCAGGAGCCACCTTCTTGCCAGTTGTGTGGTGTATACAGAAACCTGCACCATATACTGTTATCCCACCTGGCAGTTCTGCAGAATGTCTGGTACACCTTTAGACATGACTTGGTCCTGGAGGTTGTGGCAGCAGCTTCATGAAGTTCTAATATAACTTTGTCAGATTGTCTTCCTGAAGCAAGGTGTGACTAACATAAACCTGAAGACCAGGTTGGAGGACTCAAGGAAGTGGACAGTGTTGGTTGAGGTTACACTTGCAAGGTAGGTCATTGTGTCTGGACTGAGGCCAGATCTAGTGTTGATTGATAGCAAGAAGAAACATTTGTTGCTTGGCAAGTTGACGGTGGCATAAGAGGAAGGAATTGAAGAGGCTCATGAAAGAAAGCTGCTTCGGTATGAGGAACTGCTGGCTGAGGTTCGTGTAAGGGGATACGGCTGCCATTTGAGGTTGGCTGTAGAGGATTTCCTGCTGTTCCCTTAAAGAAATTCCTCAAGTATGTTGGGATCCAAAAGCCAAATAAGGTAAAGACCTGTGGCGAGAAAATGGTGGAAAAAATGGTGCATGAATTACCAGGAAATTTATAGAGTCGCATCAAACTAATAACATTGACTGGTTGCAATGTAACATCATTCAGCTGTTGTGGGCCCAGTGTGAAGAGGTAATGAGCTTAATGGGTTGAAATGCTTTTGAAGCACAGCGCTCAGCTGAAGATTACAGCTGGTCTGGATCTCTTTATGTGTACATTTTTTTTTTTTTTTAGTTTATACACATATGTATACACACACACACACACACAAACATACATACACTACTGAGTCATCAGTTTCTACTGCCTTACCTGTGCTTCAGAAATCCCCATTAATTTTTTACTGCTTTGTTTCTTGTAAACAAGTGCACTATCTGCTGATGCACTTGATTTTTCTTGGAGCTGAAATGAAAGAAGATAAGCATTAAAGCTCATATAAGCACTGCATACTACCCCTGCTTCAAAAGGCATTCAACCCGTCAAATTTTCAATAACAGGCATTATACCATTATGTTTTGGACCCTTTTGAAAATCATTTAACACAACAAAGGTTTTGCCCTGCACTCCCAAAAAAGTTTTACCAATTTCAAAAGACATTTACCAGCCTCACTGATATTTAATGCTTAATTTCTTGGAAGATATGAATTTGTAACATTTGGGAGGGATTTGTATGAAAGTACAGTGTGCGATGGATAAATTGTCATCTAAATTATGCAAAAATATAAAATAATACCGACATCCCATTTTACATATAATTTACCAAAATCTTTAAATACTAAAGAGTAAATTTATTCAATAAAATTCGAAATTGGCTTCAACCACGGTTTACAGGACTTCTTCAGTCTCCTGCAACTCTTCTGGACACTCCCTTTTTAAATTGGTGAATGCTTAACCTTGCTTCAGTTCATCTTTTTTTGGTTTTGTTGGTCCCTCATTCAACTGTGTCCATGCATGACAATAACGGGATTGCAGTTTGGAGAATTAGGTGTAAGGGGTGAGGGTCACAGAAAATGTCCGACAGCCATGACTGAATTCACCTGCTTGTGTGGCAAGGTGCAGGGTCCTGTTGCCAGACATAGGGTCTTCCAGCAGCCACCTTCTTGATCCAGGACAGCACTACTTCCTCAAGGCACTTGATGTAAGCCTCTGTGAGGATGAATAGAAGCATAATGTGTCCATCAATAGCGATCATTCCAAACACCATGCAGGCTTCTCATAGATCTGTATAAAAATAATTCCAGGACTTTTCAAGGACTATGTTAAGATTTAAGGACTGTAGCTGATACATCAGCATGCATGTGCACACACACACACACACACACAGTGAATGGTCATCAATTTCAAAAATAAAAAAAATTGTGATTTATCTTTTAATAGTTTGAGAAGTGTTCATAGAAAAGCAACAGCTGGTTCCAATAATTCACATCACATGGATCAGTTGAAAGCTAAAACACAATGCAAACCTGGTTATGTTACACATTTTGTATAGCATTCTACAGTCTGGAGTTCTACTATACTTAAAAATTTAGAATGACACACTTTAATTTTTTTTTTTTTTTTTTTTGTTCTGTCAAAAATTGATGACATGCCACATTTCCTGGGAGGTTATGCAATATGTGGACTAATGAACAGAACTAGAAATTTTCACAAAAGACTAGAAATAGTTACTGCAACTACTATTTCAAATTTTGGAAAAAATATACTCAATGATAACATTTTTTTCAGTTCATCTAGTTTAGAATTAAATGCACCTGACCAATTTTTGATATCTATGTATTTTTCCTTTGCAAATCTTTCCATGACATTGGACTTTGCAATAAGTATGAAGTTCCAAGTCTGCTAAGCTTTCTCTACATAGCTGTCAGCTGACTTGAGCAAATCTTGTGTAACTTTCAAAAAACTTGTGTTTTTGGTCTTCAGTTCTTTGATTTCCATAAGCATGTATTTCTGTTTTTGTCCAGCTGCTTTTTCCTGTTTTTTTTTTTCTTTTCAGCCTTAAGGTATTGGTTTATGCTGTTCTGGCATTGGAAGCACTCCAACTGTGACCAAATAGTACTTGCACTGTGCAAACAGAGCCTTCTGTTTCATATCGTCATTAAAATTTCCTTATTGACTAGGAAACCTGTTCACTGAGCATGTTCATGAATACCAGCAATCTGCAAACAAGTTTCTAGTTTTTAATATTCTTTATTGTTAGACAAGGAGAGTTGAACAAAGCACCCAGATGGTCTGCATGCTTGCTGAAATAATTGAAAGCAATATTTCTAGCAGCCTCCTCCTTGATAGCTTTGTACTGACTGACGAGGTCATCACAATCACACTTGCTAACTGGTTTTCTGTCCACCATGTGGGAAACACATCTATTATATCGCAAATGTATCCATGGTTCAGTCATGCAAGTGACCTTATAAGAGGTTATCTAAGAGGGCACTTTGCCAGAAGTTTCTCAATGATGGTGATGAATATTGTTGCAATTCTGCATGCAAACAGATTTTGTTGAAACATTTCCTATTTTGGATAAATTTTGAATAGCCCTATCTGCCAGAAATCCACACTCAATCTTTGCAGCATCTTTATGCATGTTTGTGTTTATAGTGTTCTTCCTTTACAAATCCTTAACAGTTTCGCAATTGTCCTAAATAATCATCAGCAAGGAATGGTATCAATGGTTTATTGCAGATATTTTATCAGGAACGGTTCATGGTCTTTCAGAACAGATAAAAATCTGCTGTTTCAATGGTAATAAAATATCATCCACATTTAACAGCACTGCAGAGGAAAACTTGGTCTGGGGACTTTTTTTTTAATATTTAGTTTACAAATTTGATGACACCTGGCCAAATGTCTGGGAGTTGTTCATATGTGTGTACATTTTCTAGCCAACTATGCCAGAAATACGCAAGTAAAGAGACAGGGTTGCCAGATACACACAACTATCTCTCTCTCTCTCTCATATATATATATATATATATATATAATATAAATAATGATCTGATTAAATAAATTACAGACTTTATGTTTGCTTATTTTTAACATAACCCGTTCATACTCATGAATAACTATGATGTGAAAAATGTGCCATAAATATGAAAATTGCTTTTATTTAAGTACTTTCAATCTTCTTCCAAGATCATCTTCAGGGATGCAGATAGTAATACAAAACTGTGTTACTATCCATTACTGTAATTTTTTTTCTTTTTGGTTTTAAATGCAATGGTTGAGTCATGCTTATTGTTCATATGAACACGAAAAAAATATCCACTATGGAATTTTTTTCTTCTATGTTGTAATGTCATGGCCATGTGCACATTAAAGTGTGAAAAAATGTTCCTTTTACAGGCAGTCCAGAACATTACAATATTTGTAGCTGATTCTATTCAGTGTTGGCTTTAATCTTTTTCTTAAATGTAGATTGCTCCGAGGATCTTTAGTTTGAATTTGTTTTCTTGGTATAGGATATTTGTGTTATCTATCAGTAATTTTTTATAGTGTGAATGTGGACAGGAATGTTGGTGTAGATGTTCCACAATGGATGAATGGTTGGACATGTGTAGCCTCAGACATCTTATTAGTGCATATCCAATATATATATATATATATATATATATATTTGTTTTTCTGCTGGAGATGCATTCTCCCAAAGGACATTTGAAAAGATATATAAAGTTAGTTTTACATAATACATCAGTTGGTGGAAGGAGGAGTTATTGTGAATAATTAAATTGGTTTTAAGGATTTAAATCATTTAATTGCAATCCACAGGTTATACATGAATATGAATGGATTATGTTAAAAATAAGCAGACATAACTGTAATTTATTTAATCAGACATACCTACAAGAGAATTTGCTGCCTAAATACACAAATTTTTATATATGAAACAAAGTATCTATAAACAAACAAAATATTGTTAGCAACTAGAAGAATTTAGAAATGCTATTGTATATTCATATGGTCAACGGAAAAATTACCTCAGTTACTTTATCTTTGAAGAGAAAGTTTTCACATGTAGAAATATTGTTTGAATTGCTGTGTTGGCAGATTTGACCATTTTCTTTTGATTTCTTGATATATTTGTTGTGTATGTTGGCTTGGGCAAGTAGTGATTCCATTAGGAAAGGTGATATTGAGGAAGAACCTGGGTATAGATTAATATTTGGATAACATTCAATTTTTTTTTTTTTTTTTTTTATGAGTGTAGCATTTATAAAATTCAAAATTGTGGTTGAATGTCTGACTAGTGCATTTGTTAAATTGCTATTTATGGAGGTCTCTTGTGCTCATAGATAGTTTTTTTTCCCTTTTTCTACATATTTCTCCAATGTATTGTGAGGAACACTTTTGGCAATTTATTTTATATATTCCTGCTTCAGAAATATTATTGCTATGAGTGCTTGGGGATCTGATTATATTCATAATGGTTTTGGAAGTATTTGTGATTATTTTGATATTATTTAGAGTTGGTCAGTAGTATAATGTATCTGTTCTTATATAATTTATTATAATGGATGAGGTTGCTATTTTTGATATGGTTACAGATTTTGTATGCCTTTCTTCTTGCGTTGTGGATGAAATGATATGGGTATTGCAGATTTTTGAATGTGTTTTCTATGTATGTTACTTCTTTAGGAAAATATTGGGGTCAGCAGATTCTTAATGCTCTCAAACAGAAAACTATCATTCCAGATTTAATTTTAGAACAGTGGCTTGAGTAAACACTGACCAGATCATTTTTGTTGGTAGCTTTTCTATAAATGTCAAAACTGAGTTTGTTCTTGTTTCTGTGTGGGAAGAGTGTAATTTGTTTCAGTTTCAAAAGTCTAAACCTGGTCACTTTCTACACAAATATGTTGGCTAAAACTACAGTTTGCCTATTGTCTTTTTTCCTTTTATATCCCTCTCTACACATACACACCTCTCTCTCTCTACATGCGTATATAAATATATGTCTACATATACACTTATATACAGAGGCTAACACCTAGTGGCGAAAGTGTTTCAGGCTGCTGACATTCAGTGTCAAGATCAATGTCCACTCTTATTTTTCACATGCTCTAGCCAATGAGTACTTTTACCCATAAATATAGCTTAGCTTAAAACTATTTAAATCCAAAAGAGAGAGAAAAGGACAAAAAGTATTGTGAGAGTATAAGGAGATAAGAAAACCATGAAAAAAAATAACTAGCATTATACACACACACACAAAACAAAAACTCACATTTTTTTTTTCTTAACATAAAAAAAGATAAGGAAAACAACAAAATTGGCAGATATTTGTTGTTAGGGTTAGGGTGTGTGTGCGCATGCGTGTGAATAAATATACATATTTCTCCTTACTGTTTGGTAGTGAAGAACAATATATATATATATATATATATATATATATATATATATATATATATGCACGGTGAGTGACTGTAGTAATAAAACAGTACTTGATGTAAAATAACAGCTAAAATTTATACAAATAATACACACACACACTATATATATATATATATATATATATATATATATATATAAAAACACATACATATATATCTATATCTGGTGGAAAGTAATATAAATAAATTTGATTGGCTTTTTCCACAAATATTTCAGACCCTGGTACTGCGTGTAAATAGGTGTATGCTGTGGGGATTAATATTTCCTTCCCATTTCCATGATGCCTGAGTGCATTGCTTAACTCAAATCATTGAAAACCAAGGGTGAAAATCCCTAGGTTTTCACAGAGGAAATGAAAAATGTTGGGTGGGGCAGCTTAGGTGGGTTCTCTATTGGGATACATTCCCTGTCAACAGCATGATTACAGCAGCCAAAATATCTGAACTGCAGGGTTAGGGTGAAGTCTTAGAGTCAGGGTGAAGCATTATGAGATAGAATTATGCTGTTAGAATTAAGTGTTAATGTTAGAATCACATTCAGGGTTAGAGTAAAGATTTAGGTCAGAGGTTAGGGTTTAATTTTTCCCTGACAATATTTTTGGCATAAAGCAAAGCAGAAACTGCTGGAGCTTGGTAGTTTTACCACACCCAATACATGGACCTGCCCTGATTAATGATAATCTAATCACCTCCATGAGCAACATCATGAGGAAATCAATGACAAACTGAAACCCCTCCACAGACTTTATTCTGTGCTTGTTAAAGGTCAGGGAATCTAGTTTTTGTTCTAACTTGCAAATGATATTTGGCCAGGATCAGTTGTGGGCAAGAATGTTCAAATGAGTGCTCCATTCATATTCTTTCTGTAAACCTCTACCATGAGTGGTTATTGGACCTTGTGAACATAATTCATGCCCCCAATCCCTTGGTGCCTCACCTTCTTCCCAGACAGGGGTTCCCGAGTGTAGTCTTTGTGGGGCCCAGAGGACGATGAACGATTTGGAAATATCTGGGCAAGCTCCTCATCTATGGAAGGAAGATCAGATGTTTTTACTGGTACCTGAAAAAAAAAAAAGGGGGGGTATTTTATTAGTAAGGGGAAAAAAAAAGGGTGGGGGAGGCAGTATGGGAGAAAAAGTGGGGAAGCTATGAGAGAGAGAGGGGAGAAAAAATACATCACACACACACACACACACCATTCTCAGAAATACAGTTGAGTAGGAAGAAATTGCACACTCAACTGCACTACTGAGAAAGTCATCCCCAAATGAACTTATACAGTACTCTAGACCACAACTTTATATATATATATATATATATATATATATATAAAAATAAAGATTAAACACTTATAGTGTTAATTATAATTAGTGGTACACTATGATGTAATCACACCCACCAGAGGTCAACTGTTTTTTCTATAATGCCAAGTTAGGGGGTAGCTGGTATAGAAATCAATGTACAAACACAACCTACCTGAGAGGGCATTGCCTTTATGACATCCTCAATTGCCTCAATAGCAACATTGTAACCACGTGGAATCCGATTTGTGACAGTGAACTTGGCTTTGTTATCTGCATAACTCCAGATACTGTCTTCTTGGACCCAAGCACTGAGAATAAAATGTAATTAAGGTGATTATACTTAGGCATAATTTTATTTATTGTATTTTCATTTCCTCTTTTAATGTTTTTAATTTGTTTTGTTTTTTTTACATAGAGTGCATATAGGAGTTGGCTAAACCTGATGATGGCCAGAGAGTACTTGGTAAAAACAATCTGTTATAACTATATATTGAACAAGAGCTTGAAATGATAACGTTCAAACTCTGGGTTGTACAGTGAAATACTGATTAAACACAAAATAAACCTAATAAATGCACACATGTTAGCCAGAAGGTAACTGGTTGAAATGTTCTAAGAGAGTAAATTTGCTGATCCTGATGCTTTTTTCATTTATTTATTTTCATTAATTTTTATTTTTTCATTAAATTTATTTCATTTTTTTTTTTTTTTAAATCAGTTTCATTAATTTTAAATTTTTATTATTCAATTTACATTTTATTGTTTTCATTTATTTTCATTTGATTCATTTTCACTTATTTTTTTTTTTGTTTTTTGTTCATTTATTTTCAGCTTTTTAATTTATTTTACTAAGTTTCATTTAGTTATTTTCATTTTTGTTGTATTTATTTTATTATTTACATTCCATTATTTTTACTTATTATTTTCACTTTTGCAGACTTTAATTTATTTTCATATTTTCAGTTATTTTTCTATTTTAATTTCTTTGTGTTCTTTGTTTATGTATTATTTTTGTTTATTTTTTATTATCATTTATGTTAACCTATTATTCATTCATTATTTTCATTTATTTTATTATTTATCATTAATTTTATTTGCTTATTATAATAATTATATTTTTTTTATTTATTAATTCGTGAAGGGTTTTAATGTCTAATTCTTTAATGGCGACTTAGATTGAGTGTACCTGATAAAAGCCAGAAATCAAACTAGTCAAAATGTCATAAAGATAAGGATAATTACCTGCAAAAAAATTGTATGGAAGCATCAAAGTGTACTTACTAATTTTCTGAACCAAAGAAAAACACAAAGTGGTGATTCTTCTTGCTTGTTGGCCGCTTCACCTCTGACATCGGCTCGATGATCTGGAAAATTTCAATGTGTTACAATCTACTAATAAACCTTCCATACATAGTAATGCTTATGCATCTATAGTATGCACAAAAATGTTCTTAGTGCAATGACTGTATGCTAAAAGTGAGTTAAGATGAGGGAATGGTAGTGGTGGTAGTGGGGGATAATGAGTATGTTGGAAGCCAGGAAGTTAACCTTCATTCAGGGATTGAAAAAAAGTGAAGTTGGTGGGAATTCAAGTTTTAATAAGATGGAAAAGAAAAAAAAAAGAAGAAAAATTAAAAATTAAAAATGTGTAAAACAAAATAAATTTAATGAAACAAATAATAAATAAAAATCAAAGTAAATACAAATAAAATAAAAGTATATAATCTGTTAAAAGATTTATATTTAAATATGTATAATGTATGTTTATATGTGTGTGTATATATAGATATGGAGTAACAGACACACAGAGGATAAACAGTCTTTAGACAATTTCAAAAAAAGTAATTACAAGAAACTTAGGTAGCAACTGATTTTTGTTGCATATTAATATTATGGAATTTCTTGTAATGATGTTAATACCTGTATTAACGGTTCTGTTTCAGACTGCAATTAATGTTGTTCTTATGTTTTAAACTGTAATTAAATAATGTGCAACTAATGGGGCCCATATATATATATATATATATATATATACACACACACACACACTTTGGCCTTTCTTCTGAATAATAAATATTTTGACGATAAAACTTTGTGTCTTTTCTCATTGAAAAAGTGGAGGTACCTTGTTAACAAATTTGATGACATGTGGGCAAATGTCTAGTTGTTCCTATGTTTGTAGATTTTCTAACCATTTATGGCAGAAATACAAAAGTCAAGATACAGGGTTGAACTTTTAAAGTCAAGCAATAAAAGCCAAATAAGTTTTAATATATTCCATCATTTTTTTCACACTCACAACAAAATCTAGAGATACAGGTCATGATTAACCTGTAAACTCTATAATATTGTTATTTTTTCCAAAAGGCATTTTTTATTCTATCCTAAGACTCATCAAAGGTAAATTTTCTATCATCATTCCCACCTACATTTTCTTCGAATTAAATTTGATTCTGAAACTTTACTTTATTTTTAGCAACAACTTAGGCAAATGTAGTTTACACAGACGGGCATACATGCACACACATATATATATATATATATATATATAAATAAAAATGGTGGCAGCAATAACTGAATCCAATCTGGTTCAACATTTTTCAAAAGATCTTTATTTTTTTTATGCCTACATGATTCTTCTAAAAGTCAAAGATTACATCTTTTTATTTTACTATTGTAAGATTCAGTTCTTGCTATCATTTCTCATGTATTAATAAAAAAAATGTGTATGTCTATTTGTTTGATCTTTAGCTTAAGAGTGTGTGTGCACGCATATTAGCTAAAAGCAGGACTCCTTAGAGTTTGTTTTTGTCAAGCAGAAATACTATTTACCGAAAATCTGCTCTGAATTGTAAATGATGCAATAAAAGTATTTTCATTTTTTAAATAAATTTTTCAACTTATAATTTTAAGTTTTAAGACATTTAAAAAACTGTATTAATTTCAGCCATTTAGATCATATTATTTGCAAGCCAAAAAATATATTTACTAACTATAAATGGTGAAACTTAATACTAGTAACACGGAGATTTTTAAAAATTTTTGATTTTTTTTTTTTTAAATGTATGCCCATTTTTTAAAGTATTTTTGACGGTCAAACATGACATTATCAGAAAATAAAAGCAATGATTATAGTAAATTTAAAGTCATCATTCGTAAAATTACATTACGGAGAATATTTTCCAACATTTTTAAGATTGTTGCGTACTTAAAAAATTATATACAGCGAGTCCGTAAAGTTCGTGTGCACTTTAATATTTCTAAAAAACAAAAGCGCACACGAACTTTATGGACACGATGGAAAAAAAGAAAGAAAAAGTGCCCACATCATTTTCTCATATTATGTTTTCACATATAGTCTCTGTAGAACAATAATGAATTTGCTATCACATGTCAAACACAAATATGGCTACTATTGGTTAAAAACATTATTTGGTTTAAAAATGCATTTCAGTGTTATCTTAAAGTAAATATTTTTCAAATAAGATTTATTATACTTTAAACTGGCAAACATTTCCCAAATAACTAAAGATTAAGAAAAGGATATTTAATTTTTGAAAATTTTTAATAAAGAGCATTACATTACAATGAAGGACAACTAAAAAAAGGGCATTAATTAGTTATTTTAGAAAAACAAAACAAAAAAAACTTCCAGTCAATTTAAATAGGTTTTAAAATACAAAATATTTTGCTGATTGCAAATATACTACCACAGAAAATGCGATACCTAAGGCTTAAAATAAATTTTAAAAAGTGATAAACTAACAGAATAAATTTAATATAAACAAAGTACTTAGCTGTAGTTCAAAACTATTGACTGGAAGGGTTAAATTTTTTTTTTTTGCTAAAATAGCTGATTAGCACACATTTTAGTCTTTTATATAGTAATTAAAAAGCTTTAATTAAATAATGTCTTTTATTTCATTTTTTTTTTCTTATTTTATGATTCAGAGCAGATTTTCAGTAAATGATGTTTCTGCTTGATAAAAACAAATTGATGATTTTAAATTCTCTAAGGAATATTGCTTTTAACTAATATAAATATGAAGAGCATGGGATTTTAATCTGGAAATTTCATTAATTAAGCAAGGGGTGGATGTGCTAACAGACGTAGAAAAAAATAAAATTTTCTTAAAAAACCCCAAAAAAACTCCCAAAACAAAACACACATAGCAGAAATGCATTTTATTTTATTTTTTTAAATGGTGTGTGAAGTGTTTGCTTAAGATGTTGACAGCTTGATGATAGAATGTTTATGTAATATTGTTCTATGGAGGCTGTAGGAGTAAAAAAAAACATTGAATATAATGTGAGCATCTTTTATATAGAATTTGTAAGTACTCACGAATCTTAAAAATATTTTCTGTAATCTAATGTTTTATTGAATTTTAGATACTTTTTGGCTTTAAATTTACTGTTGTTAATGTTGTGTATGTTCAACTGTGTCTACTAAAATCAGCACATTTGTACACATACAAAAAACAAAAACAAAAAACAACAAAAAACATTCTTTTAAAAATATTGATTTTTGATGATTTATACTAAGCTTTTCCATTTATGATTAGTAAATTTGGTTTTTACTTAATATATAATCTAAAAAGGTTGGCATTAATACAGAATTTTAAGATTTAAAACTTAAATTTTTATAATAAAAAAATATAAACAATTATAAAAATTCATTATGCATTGTTTTTTCTTAAGACAATGATGTTCGTCATATACCTTATTTATAAAAGCAATCAAAAGCTTTTCTAATTACATAATTTTATTAAATAAAGAACAATAAATTTCCCATACTAATGTTTGGACCACTTGCTGATGCAAGAAAAACAAGATGTTTAACAAAAATTCTGAACATGTTAGAAAGGATTAAAATATTTAATAAAATAAAAAAAATACTGCTTTCCTCTTAACAATAAACATTTGGATGATAAAACTTTGTTTTTATCAACTTTGTGCATTTTTTTCCCCTGTCAACTAATTTTTGGAGGTACCTAATTTAATCTATTAGCTTGAAATTAAAACTAAAATAAAAGCTGCAAGAAAGCTTTTACATTTTTTTCAAATTCATATAAAACTTCCATATTGTGCTGTCTGTGGATGTACCTGTCTACGAAATTCTTGAGTTGAGATGCTGAAGGTACCAACAATCAGCTAAGTGACAAATTTTACATTAATCGTGTGTGTGTGTGTGTGTTTTACATGTTAAACCCCACTTTATGAAATTTTTTGTAGAACTTTGTTTATATTAATTCTAACCAGAAGCCCTTGGGAAATTTGAATCGAATTTGGCAGGGTTAAACAGAACACCAACTGAAAGAAAAATCTGCTGTGAATTGTGAGAGAAAAAATGCAATAAAATTAAGACATTATTTAATTAGAAAAGCTTTTAATTGCTTTTTGTATAAAATATATTATTGGCACCATTGTCTTACAAACAAATTCTTTCCGGTGAATATTAAGTAAAAAGTATATTTACTAATCATAAATGGAAAGCATACACTAATTTTAAAAAGAATTTAAAATTATTTTTGTGTATAAATGTGCCAATTTTTGTAAATGCAAATGTCTAAATGCAACATTAATAGAAAATAAGAATGATAACTATTGTAAATTTAAAATTTATTAGTCATTTTTTAACATTTCCTCAATAAGTTAGACTATAAAGTAGGGACCTCCTCACACACAAAAAGGTTTAAATTAATGTTTTTAAAAATGAAAAATCTTTCTTGAAGCTTTTATGTTAGTTTTAATTTCAAGCTAATAGATTAAATTAATATTTCCAATAAGCAAAATACTTTGCTGTATTTCAAAAACTAATTTACGTTGACTATAATTTTTTCTTGTTGTAAAATAGCTGAGTGCCTTTAGTCATCTTTCACTGCAATGCAATCTTTCAAAAATAAACTATACTTTTCTGAAACTTTATCTGAGGGATATTAACCGATTTAAAACAAATATTCAAGTTTACAATATCACATAAATGTAGGTACTGGCATGAGATCGATGGAAAATGAGCATAGCAGGATAATAACAGCCTTGAACTTAACAAAAACAAAATGTTATTACTAAGAGAAAAGAACAAAGTAATTTTTTAAAAATTTTCTGTCTTTATTAGAGCATTCTAACTTTTGATTGAAAAACCTTGTTTCTCTTCATCAGCGGAAATGCTACTAAATAACATGGCGGATTTTTGGTGCATGTTTTTTTGAATGGCAGACATTAATTTTGAAAATCTTGCAAAAATGAAAATAATTATCGAATTTTAATGAAACTTTCAGAAACTATTCATAAATGATGGAAATTATAAATGTGTTTTTTTTTTTTTTTAAAGTCATAGTAATTTTACTTTTTAAAAATATATTTTTACAATTTTATAAAAACTTGAAATTCAAATCTGTACATTTTTAGAGATTAATCAAGTTAAATTTAGTTAAAAGCACAAGGCTTTGAGTAAAGTTAATCAGGTTTTGTTTTTTAGTTGATGCCCTTCTACCTTAAAATCAGCTCTGAATTGTAACATACAAAACTCAATAATACAAAGATATTTAATTTCAAAAGCTTTTAGTTCCTTTTACTTGTTTTTAGGAATATGGATAATACTGTCTGAATGCAAAAAATGATTTCAATGAAAAATAAATTTTTACAACAATTATTATTTCTTAAATTATTTTATTTTTTTTACATTAACGTTGTTAAATATTCAAAAATTAATGTAAATGTTGTAGTTTTAGTCAATGGTGTTAAGTAGATATATATCATTACAGATTATAAATTAAAGCTGGTTACAATCATCAATCTGCAAATAGATAAAAATCTAATAAAACATGGGTTTTTGTGCCTATAAAATAGCTTAATTCAAATATACGGAAGACTGGAAGCATCATGAAAACAATAGTCCGTCACATGGTTTGCGTTGGTATAAATGTTGTTCTTCGCTGTTAGACAGCCTTTTCAATGCATTGTTTGTGCTAAACATGGAGAAATTTTTTGATGTTTTACTTAAAACAAAAAAAATTTAAACTATAGCTTACAGTACTATTTCATTTTTATACCTGTACACTTAGCCTTTCATAAGAAAGGTACTTAAATAATTTTATGTACCTTTCTTATGAAATTTTTTCTCTCAACAGTTTTAGTTTAAAAATTTTCATAAAGCATCGTAAACGTAAAGGTAGAAAGCTAAGAAACAATAAAAAATTAGAGCGCTGAAATTTTTCCTTAAAAATAACAAGGTAAGTAAGTTGGTTCAATGAAAAGCTAAATCATATCATGTTTGTCCTTCCATATGATAACTTTTCCTTGAGTAAGCTGTCAATATGTGATGAAAGCATCAATCTTCACATAATCACATGTCACCGCTGTTAAGACCTGCCGTCTTGTTTTAAAGTACATTTTTTGGTACATAAACTAAGTAATGTTTTCTTTTAAAATATATTAAATAAACTTTTAAATTTCTAACTTTGCTAAAATAAATTTTTAAAAAGTATAACTGTTTTTAGGCAGAATTTTGAAATGGAAAAATTAACATTTGTTTAGAAAATTGAAAAAAAAAAAAAGTCTGATGATTGATTTTTCCAGACTAAAAAAAAAAAAAAATTGAAACAACAATTTTGGATGTGCTAGGAATGATTATCAAAAAATACTTTGATCTTCCCTCTATAACAAATATTTAGACAATAAAAAATTATTTTTGTCAAGTTTAAGGCCGTTTTTATCATGCTATTCTCATTTTCCCAGCAATCTCATGCCAGTACCTACATAAATGCATTTTTTAACCTGGCAGTAGCTGTTTTAATGTTGACCACCTGATGACAAATCAAATGTTGTTCTATGGAGATTCTCTGCAAAATATAATTTAAAAAAAAAAAAAAAAGTGGTGAGCACCTTTTATATATTTTTTAAGTACTCAGAAATCTTAAAAATTTAATCTTTTAATGATACTGGTGTTTGATGATTTGCATTAAGCTTTTCCATTTATGATTAGTAAATATAGCTTTTACTTAATATCACCTTCTAAAAAAATGAAATTAATACAGGATTTTAAAAGATTTAAAATTTAATTTTTTCTAATCAAAATTTAAAAAAAAAAAAAATTCTAAAAATTAATTATTCATTGGAAATTTTTTTTCTTAAGACAAGAGTGTCCTTAATATACCTTATTTATAAATGTAATTAAAAGATTTTCTAATTAAAGAATTAGATAGTTTTATTGCATTTATTATTTTACAATTCAGAGCAGATTTTTGGTAAATGGTATTTTTGTTTGACAAAAGTAAATTGAGGATTTAAATTCTCTAAATCCTGCTTTGAAGAGGCTGAAATTTTAAATTATCGAAATTTCATAAAATTAAGCAAATTTTAACCAAAATTAAAATTTTGGTTAAAATTTGCTTAATTTAACGTGCAAGAAAGGATTAAAAAATTTAATGAAATAATCAGAAAGTACTTTGGTCTTTCCTCTTAAAAAGAGCACACATTTTGACGATAAACTTTTATTTTTATCAAGTTTTGGGCCTTTTCAGGGTATGCTCATTTTTAGAGGTATCTACAAAACAAAGCCAAAGTAGGTAAAAAATTCAATATATTACAATACATTGCTTGCTGAGAATATTTCTTTTAAAGATTACTAGGTAGTTAATAAAAGATTATATATTGAAGGTGTTCACATATTTGTCAAGTAATTGTTAGTTATGTCCTGCTTAGAAAAAAAATTCTTAAAGTCTAGCAAATTGTCAACAGTTCAAAAATACACCATGTTAAAAAAAAATATGCTTTTCTGTGATATTGAACTAAAAGTTTCAAATCAGATTAATAAACGAAACCTTATGTTAATATTCAGCAAATAAAGTTTTAGAAAAGTACATTTTATTTTTGAAATATTTTTTAATTAAGAAAATTACGTTGTGTTGAAAGATTTTAATATGAATGTTTTTTTTATTTTTATAGACTTTTTTTTACTGATAATAAAAAAATGCTATTTCCAATCAATGTAAATTCGTTTTGAAGAGTGGAAAAGTTTAACATGAAATTTAAACTATTTACTATTACTTATTAAACTTAAAGCTTCAAGTGTTTTCATTTTTAAAATATATTTTTTTAAAAACCTTATGTTGGCTTTTTTTTTGTAGGTACCTAACAGGGAAAGGAGAATAAATGAAGGGGTCAAAGCACTCAAAGTGGGAAAGGAAGGAAACGCTAATCCATAAGAAACCAATAAGATAACAAGAAAATAAAGGGGAAAGTACTACTTAAACACGAGTTAGGGATCGATTTGAAACTGTATCGCTATATCATATATAGGATCACTACTTTTCTGTTTTGATGTTAGCAAACGTTGTGGTTTTTGGAGTGTTTAAAAAATAACTCTCAATAGAGATTCAGCACCTTTTTTTATGTATAACCAAGGATAGCGAAATAAAACAAAAATTTCTGCCGAAAATGGAGTTTCTTTGAAATTAAAGTTTTATTCTGGGAAGGTGGGGGACAGATAGCCTTAAAAGGGGGCAAAAAAAGAGAGACGGAAACGTCACCACATACGGTTAAATGATAATAATAATAATAAACGTGCTTCATTTCCCCCGCCTGTTTTGCGGCAATTGGCGGGATTCGGAAGCGTCGACTTACCCTGGCCGGCCAAGCACAAAACCCCTTCATTTTCGCCCTAAAACACAAGTAAAGTAGGTAATAAACCGAGTGAACTGGAAGGGGAACTTTTTAATAAGCAATCTTCAATAAAAAGGGATTGTTGGAAAAATTGACGTCAAACGACAAGACAAAGCGTTCTACTTACCACACCAGATCGCCCACCTTGAAGCTCGCCGCCATCTTTGCGAAACGGTCACGTGACCGACGAAAATACAGCATGCCGGGATTAAAAAAAAATGGCGCCACGGACGGTTGAGAGAATCTCTAGCATGACACTTAAACACGATTTATTTATTTTTTTTATCCACCACCCACTAATATTAATGTTTGTGCCTGGTTAATTAATTATTATGACGCCAATTTTTTGTATAAACACGCATACACACACACATATATATATAAAAAATTGGCTATATATTGGGTATGCTATGCATAATATGATATATATATATATATATATATATATATATATATATATATATATATATATATATATATATATATGTGTGTGTGTGTGTTTTTAAATAATAATAAAAATTAAAATTAAAATTTTCAGACACACTGGGTTGTATATTAATATTTTTTGTTTTATTATTTTAATTAGATTCCACGACTAGTTTCGGCCAGCATTGCCATCATCAGGAGAAAAAAAAATCCTGCTCGTTAGTAGCACTGAAGTACAGGAATGAATGACTTTCTTAAGACAATGAACTTTATCTGTAATTTTCATTTGTATTTTTATCGTTAATTTTGTTCATTCCTTGTGATAAAGACTGGGGAGATTCATGCATCTCAGAATTCCCTTCTTGGTCATTTTGACAGTTTTATAAGAGGATGTATGGGTGTTATGTACATGTTATCTTTTAGTTCTTTGGGAGTGTGTATGATGTGTGTAAGTGTATATATTAGTATGGGTGTGTGTATAAGTGTGACACTTCACCACCTTCGCAAGCATGTCTGTCTTATGTGTGTGAGAGATGTGGGTAAGGCTTGACTTATGGGGTTATATATTAATTCTATATATGTTATGTATATTATATATATATAATCTGGACGAAGTGTTTTTAGGTGCAAAATCCATTTGTCTTCTTGTTCCTCTAGAATTTTTCTAATGTTATCTTTTCTATCTATTTCTATTTTTCCAATTATAGTGAATTTGGAATGGCTTTTAAAATCATGTTTTTCTAGGTAGAAATGTTACACGTAGTAATCTTTCATGGGAAGCCTACTTGAACTGAGTACAATAATTATTAAAACTGTAGTGAAAGGGCCATTCAGATTTTCCCACATATTCTTTCTGGCATAGTGTGCATTTTAATAGGTAAATTATATTATGACTTCTACAGTTTTCTAAAGTTGTGGTAGATTTCGAAAGTAGATTTAGTGACTGAGCTAGTAAAGGAATTGGTATGTCTAATGTTATTTCAACATAAGCTCCTTTTGTTGTTACATGGGAAAATCCGGTTGTTTTTATTTTTGGTCTATTCCGAATTACCTTATTTGAAATTTTGTTACTACCTATAATTTCCTTAAGGTTATTGTCTATGATATGCTATTGTAGACTCGTCCATTTACCTTATCACCCCTAGTAACAAGAACATTCTATTCGATACGCCTACACACATAAACCTTAACCAATAGAAACATTACTATGCGAATCAGCAATTCTCATTGGCTCACAACACGAAATTCGAAAGCTTCACGTGCGGAAATAAAATTGCGCCAAAACATATCTGAGCCAACTTGGACATCTAAAAACCTATAAAAGGAAAAAATATTAACTGACCAAGTCAGCCAGTAGAACGAATCAGTCGCTCAAGTCTTGAACGACAGATCGATTGAACTCTCTGCCTTTGGGCGGGGAGGAACCCGAAGGAGGCTCCGCCGAAGGGCGGATTCTCTTTCGGGGAGGTAAACCGACCCTGAACACGTTTATATGGGTTAAATGGGCATATGTTATGTTAAATGAGCCCACGTTAAAAAGGCCTTGTGCCACATGACGCCCTCGTGGGGGTGACTGAATATCGTCAGTCGAACGAGTTGAATTCTCTGCCTTCGGGCGGGGAAGAACCCGAACGAGGCTACGCCGAAGGGTGGAGTGTCGTTCGGGGAGGTAAACCGGCCCTGAACCCGTTTGTACGGGTTCAATGGGCATATTTTTGGGCCGAGCCCATGGGCTCGGATATCCCACATTAAATAACCGATCTTGTGTCACATGATCCCCCAGTGGGCGGGGGTGACTGAATATCGTCAGTCGAACGACTTGAAGTCTCTGCCTTCGGGCGGGGAGGGACCCGAGTGAGGCGTAGCCTCGTTCGGGGTGATAAACCGACCCTGAACCCGTTTATACGGGTTCAAAGGGTATATTTTTGGCCGAGCCCACGGGCTCGGAGATCCCACGTTAAACCGGCTTTGTGCCACATGATACCCTCGTGGTGGGGGTGACTAAATATTAGTCAGTCGAACGAGCACAGAGATATGCTAATATAATCCACGTTGCTTGCAACTGCAATCTTGCCGCGCAAATTAACACGCAAGCTAACGCGCAACTAAATCATCACTGACTCACCCGCAAGCTCAAATCGAAGAAAACTCTGTGAACACACGAAACTTTTATTTGAATTACTTTACTTATCAAAAGTGAATTGACATTCACTATTATTCTAAGTAACATCATCGAACGATCACGACATTTTGCAGTCAAAGGTAGACTACTTCGTAATGACTCATTTCTAAAACACATTAACTATATTCCAAATATTCATTACAATTTCCTATCAAAATTTTTGTGAGGTAAAGCCACAAACATTAGAACATGTTCGTAGTTCCTGTAAAACAGCCCTTGTCAATGGCAGATATACATGGAGGCACAATAGTGTTTTGGATGAGCTGGTCAAAATCATAAAGAAATATATGAAGTCTGAGTCATCTAATTCAGCCCAGAAATTTGTTGCAGAAGGAAAAAGATATGTCGGCTCTAAGCAAACAAGCAAATGTCATGCTATACCCGGAAAAATCTCCTTAGTTCTAGTGGCATCTGGGAGGTATCTGCAGACCTTCCTGGTTGGCGTAATGATTACCCCAAAATAATATCAAGTAAAGGTCTGCGACCAGATATTGTTCTTCTGTCAAGAGTGAACCATAAAATCATCCTGGTTGAGTTAACAGTACCATATGGATGCCGGATGGAACAAAGCCACGATTATAAAACTAATAAATATGAAAATCTAAAGTCAGAGCTAATAAAGGAGGGCTATAATGCAATTGTTAGAGCAGTGGAAATTGGAGCAAGGGGTTTCGTTTCAGGCACTCTGTACCAATTTCTGGGCCAAATTGGAATCAAAGGGCGTAATAGGGCCAAGAGTATAAAACGCCTAATAGAAGTAACAGAAAATAGTTCTATGTGGATATGGAAAAAACGAAATACTCCGTGGAGTGTTTCAGCGAACATGACGGCATGACATGACTGATCGTGAATGTGTAATGAGGTTCTCGTTGCATTCTCAGAACGCGAGGTTTGCCGTTTTTCGGAATTTTCGTAAATTTAATTTCGCCGTTACACATTTGAACTAGTTTATCTACAACACTTGTATATCGTTATAATGGGGCCTCACATCAGTGAGGGGGCCGGTGTGCAACTGAAACCGTTGAGAGGAAGGCCCCGAAATGGTGCACATTCTCTCCTGATGACCCCAGTTGAAAATTCGAGAGGAACACATCAAAATTCAGTGAAGTCATATGCCGTAGTGAAGCTCGGTGGAAGTGTCATTGGCATGAGGAGCATTTTACATTCAGCTCGCTTCAGGTGAGTTTCAATTACTTTCCAGTAATTTCCTTCTTCCTAAAAGACTGTAACGTTAATGCACAAGACATAAAAAGGACATACGAAAACTACATATATCACGAGCACACCAACACATGAACAAACTTAAAAATACCCTGTATATATTATCGTATTTGTATATAAATGCTTTTATTGGTGTTGAATTGAATGTATGTTTTGTCTTGTTTATATTGAAATTGTTTATTTGTTTGTGGATGCAAAAAAGTTCACACAACCTCACATAAAATTTCCTTCTGATTCATCTCAATGCTAACCCAACTTCATTAGTTTATTCTGCACATCCCCAACACTATAAGGTCGGGTTCCTCAAACAAAATTTTTAGGTCTGGTTTGGGATGTAGAGTGGTGTTGAAAGTGCTTACTAGAGGGATGCATCTGAATTTATTTTTAATTTTATACATTAGGGTATCTTCTATAGGTGAAGAAATTGTTTTTTGTTCCCTGATTAGGTGTTGTTTATAGTCACGTGGTTCGAATTGATGCTCGAGATTTTGAGTGTCTAAAATGTTACCGATCTTGTTGATTTTTCGTGGTTGAACTTAATCGAGTCGTGTACCGTGTTTAGAGTCATAAGGAATTAGGTGAGTCTGTAGTGGATCTAGGAAGGTTGCGTGAATATTTAAGATTGTGCTGCAAATAAAATATGCAATATCTACAAACATAAATTATAAGAAATGGCCAAATGGTAACGATATTCAATCACAACAAAAAATACATGTTTGAAACAACAAATTAAATTTTATATACACAATTTACAATCTCTTCGTTTGTTATGATGTGTGTAAAAGCATATTTGAGAAGAAAAGTTCTTTGCTATTTCGGAAATGGTCAATGTCGAAAATGTTGTCTGCCTTTGATTTAAAGGTTGAATTTAACAGACAAAAGTTTTTTCTATGAAAGATATTGAGTGAAAAAGTTTGTTGTGTAAATTTTTCTAATCTCTCATAAAGGAAGTTTGTTTCTTTGGCGTCTCTCAGATGCATAATTCCCGTGTATATCTTTTATGTGTCTGAATGTCAGATTTATTTATTGTAAAGAATACAATTATGGCACAAGGCCGAAAAGGGGGAAGGGGTTGAGGTTGGTCCACACTGACTATCCTATACCTAGGTAATCTGATTCACGACCCACCCACTCGTTACAATTTGCCCATTCACCACAAGAACTCATCCGTCACCAATAAATCTTCCATCCACCATAATACCGCATCCTCTCAGGGGGACCTACAGAAAACGCACCACATGGCTTAAAAATTAGATGATAAATAAATATATACAATATATATAAAAATTTACGGATGAAGAATGAGAGGGGAGGGAATGAACCCTAAAACAAACTAAATATCAACGCAAAACAAACTAAACATAACTGATGT